AAAGAATATAAGTATATATAAGTAACCTTATAATTAATGGTATATAAAGGATAAAGCATAGTTTATTGATTTGTACCCGGGTATCTTACAAAATACTATGTTCAATGACCTTGAAATGTACCCGGTACAAATCAAGGGGGGTATTTTCCACGGTAATTTACGGTAGCGTCCAGGGAAATTTTTAGTTATATGTAAAAGTTAATTTTTTTTAAACCAATATGTATTGTACAACTTTATTATTATAAACACTATTTTAAACTACATATTGTATAAATTTGATACAAATTGGTTAAGGTATTGAAAAGTTTTATTAGAAGAACTTTTTTGTTTACTATGTAAAATTCAATATACCACGTAGATCTACGTACACCCTACCCTTAACGTTAATTCATTTAAGACGCTTTTTTTCTATTTTGAGCTTCTGACGTTTAACAATGCATCAATTGAATTTTTTCAAATTGCTTATTGACTAATGTGAATATCTGTTACGTATAACAATAAATTAATACGCATACAAAGACTAGACCATATCTATAAGCATGGTGGACAAACCCGAATTTGGTGATGATCGTCATAATTGAATTAAAAATTTTTCTAACTTTTTATATGCGTTAAAGTACTTTTTATTTTAGTGATCTTTCAAAACCTAGCAATTAAATACATTGAAAAAACAAAGTAACAAGAAAAGCTCATAAAAGCCTACGTTTTATTAAAATTAATCCAAAATAATCCCAATATTTAATGAGTTATATTAGAATCAAATTTTATAAAAGATCGAAGATATCTTATGATCCAATAGGTAGAATTTAATAATTTTTATACCATTAGATTCGTCTCAATTAAATGAATCAAATGGTATAAGCTTCATCAAATTCTGACTACTGGATTGTGAGATATCCTTGATCTAGTAAATAAAAATCTTTCGAATTATTATAAACTGATTAAAAATTGTGCATGTGATCGGTAAATATCATATTTTTATTGGACAGATCGACCCTGAGTCAGCGTGGGAAGTTTGTGCTACGAGGTTTGTCCACCATGCTATATCTATATGAGTTCACTAAATTAAAAAAAAAAAGCACATTTTTTTACGTCTAATTTTTTAATGCTGTACTAACTCAAATTATGCTTATAACAAAATTTACATTATATGTATAAGGTAAATATAAAAATTATGGTTAAATATATTGAAAGATAAGTGCATACATACTATGTACGTATGAATGACGACAAATTAGTTTTCGATATTAGGATAATTAGTTGATAAGAAATAAAAATGATAAAAAAAGGCCTAATTAGAAAAAAACCGAGGAGGTACATATAAATAAGGGTACGAAGGTAAAACCAGTGGAACTGCAAACACGAGAAACAATATAAAGCACTGTGAATTTTAATTCCCTGAAACATAAAATGTAAATACTAGCGCACTTGACTCGAAATAAAAAGGTGAATAGATAAATAACTAATATCGATTTCAATATTCTTAATTTCTAGCTATATCGGTATCTTAAATATTCGAATTTTTCATAATATTTACCGGTTTTTCTGTCGCTGTTCCTGTTCACACAATCGGACTTAATTTGCCGATGGTAACACGACCTGATCTGTACTTTTCTAAATTTATAACTTTTTTTTCATATCAAATTAACGTTTCCTTAATTAAGTAATAGTTTCAGCTACAGCCTAACACAATGTCAACAGTTTACACGCCAAAAAAAAAACACAATCAGTTGCTTGAAAATTGCTTAGCAATTATATATACCACAAAATTTATCATTTTGTGTAATTAACTCTCTGTTACGAGAGTTCCTTCATTTTTTTTCATACATTAATAAATTACATTAATAAAATACATTAAGAGATAACTTAAATTTTATTTCATTCTTAAGCTCATCAATTGTGTATAAAAAATGTTGAACAAGCTATCTATCTTAGGCAAAATCACGCTTATTTCTATCATCTTGCAAGCGATAATAATCACCGTCTTAGAAGCTTTTGTTATTTATTTCCATGTCGATTTTGTCAATCAATTTAAGTTGGATTCAGTTGGTTATGGAATATCTGAGGCTGATTTAATTTATCATTCAATGTAAGTAATTTATTGTTAATTTTTTTTTGTTTAAAAAAAAAAAAAATGCTAATTTTTTTCCTTTTTTCAATTTCCAAGATTTATTATTTCACTATTCTTCCAAATACTTTTAGTAGTTGACGCTCTCTGGAATCGTAATACTGTCCAAATAGTAGCCCTTGTAAAATTCAACCTTCTTACACTAGCATATGCAGCAATACAACTTTATCAACATGAGATTCTCGAAGATCAAGGCACTCTGAATGCAAATTATACGCCAATTAATCCCATTTTCTCTGAACATGATAGGAACGCTCCCAAAATCTATTATGAAGCGAGAATGAGACCAATCGAGCATACTATCATTGCCTTAATATCTGCTTTTTCTATATATTTAGCTGTCATGTCTTACTTGCTCACCAAAGAATTTGGTTGGGAAAACTATAGAACTTATTCCGCTGATATTCGAGTCCGCGACACATTTTGGAATCTTACAATTTTACAGACTTTGATTAAAATGGACGTATTCTTTATTGGATCGTACGCTCTACAACTCATACCCTCTCAACAAATTGGTTATTATTCTTCTATAGCGGAGATTGTCCTCGTCTTTTTTTTTGGTACTCTCACGTTGTTAATATCTTGGATCTCTGTCGTTAAGGAGATGAAATATCTTTTGTTATCAGCGATCAATCTTTATTCTATATCGTTGATTTACTGGGTTTACCGACTTATAACAATTTCCTTTCCCGCATCTTCATCACAAGGATTTGGTATTTATTTATTATATATTTATATTTTTTTCATCAAACCATTTCATAAAAAAAGTCTCTTCTCACCATTTTAATATATATATTTTTTGTTTCTTTTAGATCCGTACGAATTTACTCGGCGATTTCTAATTTTCTTTTTAGTTATAATTATCGTTTTTATAATAGTTACTGTATTTTATTCCATTATTTGCGTCCGAAACATGATGCGTGGATTTTATGTACTTACTGTATTTGGACAGTCTGAAAATGAGCCTGAAGGTAGAAGTCCATATTTAGGCACTGATAATTTAGAATCTTCTTCTTCTAAACGTCTATCAAAGAGAGAAAGTGCGATTAGACAACAACACTTACTAACACAACAACAACATGAAAAGGCGATTTTGGATTAATGATAACTACATAATCTTAACGAAATATTTATTTCGATAAATAGCAAATTATATTAGCGTATTTATATATTTAAATATTTAATTAATGTCGTTGAAATTTATCTTTTGTTTGCATATATTTATGTTTAATCTATAATCAACTTATTTGTAATATTTAACATTATCTGTATTATTATCATTTTTTCATAATTGTGTTGTAACGCATTCTGATAAGTCCTATGTAATAAGAATTAAAATTTACTAAATACATAATACAGTATAACCTCGATGTAACGAAGCTCTGAAGCTGAAGGTTATATCTATATTTCAATATATTAGGGTCTCTTGATAATGTGTCACAAGAATTTAATTTATAGTGTTAACAAGAACGTTAAAGGTGTTAAAGTAATATTTGAAGAAAACAAAAGTATGGTCAGAAAGGGCATTGATAAGGATACCTACCAGGCATTCGTCTATTATCAAGAGTCTGCTAAGATGGAATATATCGATGAAACGTATATCTTTGAACTCCGTTATGAAAACGGAATTGAAGTTGAAATGAACGAGTGTAAGGTACTTTCTTGTTACAAAAAAGTCAACAAAAATAATAAGGATAGTAATAAAGATTTAGAAATTTTGAATAAAACTGGGAAAGACAAACAAGAAAAAGGAATTAAAGAAATAAAATAGACATAAAGTACTCAATTATTACCAAGAACCCATACCTAAACGATTTTAGAGAACTTCAACAACCTGCTGATACGGATAAAGTCAATGAAATGGATAATGTTAGTTGCTACATAATAATGGGATTGGAACTAAAAAGAAAATCGGTATGAACCTGACAAATGGTGATGATACTTAATTGAACGATACAAGACTTCGCTGTGAAAAAAGAATCATGATGAGGTCTACCAAAGACAGACGAAAAGCACTCAAACGATACTTAAACCCTGCTGAAGTCAACAAGCTGGATAGACGACATAACCTTGGACAATGTTATGAATATGGAATTCAAGATGAAGAAAAATGAACAGAATACACATAAGATGTCAAGAATCCGCTGAAATTAGGAGTATGGATGGAATAAATGGCCCTGAACAACATTGTCGAAATAAGATCAGAATCGAAAATAATGAAACCCAAGCATTCTTGAATCAGTTAACATGTAGAAATAGTTTCCTGAAATTTAATTCTGGAGGTTTGATGAGGTTTGTAGAATGAATAAACTAGGTAGTGTTACACTCAACCCACCTCTTAATCGGTCCGATGCAACTGGAGTTTGATAATAAATGAATGCTTGACTTTCAACCTTAAAGTTGACTAACTTAAGTTTCTACAAGAGGCTTTAACTAAGTGGTTTGGGTTTCGAAAGAGGCAAACGGCTAATGTATATGAAGATACAAAAAGTCGTTCTTCTAACTAATAAACTTAAAAAAAAAAAAAATACGTGATCGTGAAATCCCTTCGCGTCAATCACGTGGACACGATCGTTAAGTTTCTTAACGGTCTAAATAATTTTAGGATTTGTGTATGAAGACACAGGTATTTGTTTTATTTAGATAAGTCAAGAATTGAATGATATTTTATTGAAGCGCGAAAGTAAGTCTTTAAATACATTTTTGATACATATAAATAATTAAGACTACTCCACTATCGGGTATATGTCTATCCGTTTCTGCTCACACACATTTCCCATTTCTCCACTAATCTTCCCTTCAATACCTTTGTTTATATTAGAGTGCTTCTGGACATTTCCATTCATCTAAAGGCATCTTTATCAAACCAGTAATCACATTTGTAAACAACAGTGATTTTATAATAATTAAATGCCATATATTCATCTTGGATAACTAATTCATTTGGTAAGTCTTTTACCTGAAGGGTAATTTCTTCAAGTGGTTCTTTTCACTTAGTCATCTTAATTATCACAGGTCGAATGAAGGCAAATTGGGTACCAATCAGCATCATGTAATCCCAATATGAAACTTATTTGAAATAGATATTTGGCACAAATAGAAGACCTTTAAGATACACTCCCTGATAGTGATGACTGGAATTTCAATAATCACAATGATTTAACCTAATTTGATCATGATCGTAGCCATATATAAACCAATTTTTTTTATATACAAATCAGTTTTAGTTGAATAAGCAAAGTTGTATATTATAATGATTAGCATATAATCTGAAAATTTTAAAAAATTAATAAATTTTTGGAGGTTATTTTTTAGCATTTTAGGTTGAAGTAAACAAAGAAAAAAAATAAATAAATAAAATTTTTATATGGCAATGCATTCCTAAACTGTATTATAAACATTCATTGAAATTTAATGAGGTTATTTCTCAAGTCCTAAAGCATCTAGGATTAAATTTTTATAAAAAAGACTAAAAAATTCTTGAAAACCATTGGATTTAATTAAAAATTTTAATTTTAGAAAAAATATATTTTTTTGTATCTTAGAATTTTATATAATAAAATATTAAAAATTTATAAAAACATAGTTCTAAAAATAAAATATATATATCATGCTATATCATACAATATATACTTTTTTTTTATTAGACTATTTTATATAATTTTTACAATGTTTTATTATGCAGAGTTTTAAGATACAAAAGAATATATTTTTTCCAAAATTAAAATTTTTAATTAAATCTATTGGTTCTCAAGAATCTTTTAGTTTTTTTTTATAAAAATTTAATCCTAGATGCTTTAGAACTTGAGAAATAATCTCAATAAATTTCAATGAATGTTTATAATACAGTTTAAGAATGCATTGCCATATAAAAATTTTATTTATTTATTTTTTTTCTTTATTTACTTTGACCTAAAAAACTAAAAAATAACTCCCAAAAATTTATTAAATTTTTTTAAAATTTTCAGATTATATGCTAATCATTATAATATACAATTTTGCTTATTCAACTAAAACCAATTTGTATATAAAAAAAAATTATAGCTACAATCATGATCAAATTAGGTTAGATTATTATGATTATTGAAATTCTGGTTATCACTGCTAGGGGAGTGTACAAATAAGTTTTATATAGATGTTCAATACATATCAGAATGTCAATAGCTTTATAGCTAAATTGATAAAGCTTGCCTTATAGCTTTTTTGATTTATCTATAGAGCTATCAGCATTCTGATATATATTGAACATCTATATAAAACCAATTTGTATCTTAAAGATCTCCTATTTGTGCTAAATATTTGTTTTAAATCTTTTTACTTAAAAAATATATAGCTAAAATCAATATATAAGATTTTATTAAAAAAATTAAACCTTTTAATAAAAACACAAGCAAATTTGTCTATATTACAATTTAAGAGATATTACTGTATAAAAACAAATTTTGCAAAAAAATAATACTTATTTTTAAAAGATTAATTAATTAGTAATCTAAAAGTCAACTAGAGAGTAATTATAGTAAAACATAATACAAGTCACTTATAGAAATTAGGGCTTTATAAATGTGGTATGCATGTATTTAAAACTTTTTTTATACTAAATTAACTACTCTTCTAACTTAATAGACTTTTGTAAAGCTTATTAAGATATATCTAATAGTGATTAAATCATCTAAATCAGCCTGGTAGATATTAAAATATCTTTAAAAAACTTTCTTTAACTATGTAAATTTCTTTAAAATAATACTATTGTTTTACAAAAAAATTTATATAGTTAAAGAAAAGTTTTTTAAAGATATCTTGGCATCTATCAGACCAATTTAGATAATTTAACTACTATTAGATATATCTTAACAAGCTCTACAAAAGTCTCTTAAATTAGAAATATAATTAACTTAGTATAAAAAAAGTTTTAGATATGCATACACCATATTTGCAAAGCTACAATTTCTATACGTAATCTGCATCATGTTTTACTATAATTACTTTCTGATTGTCTTATAGATCACTAATTAATTTGTAACTGTAAGTTACAATAAATTTTTATAACTATAACTAAGATCAGGTATAATATAAATATCAACACAATATTTTTTTATAAAATAAGCTTTTGCAATTAAAGGTTAGAATTAAAATAATATTATAATTAAAGCAAAATATAGTTTATATCAAAATTTAGCAAAGAATATTTTTGTTAGAACATAGAAAATAGTTTTATAATCAAAATTTTGTTATTAAAATTTTTTTAGAAAAAATAGGTTTGGCTTGCTTTTGTATTACATCTAATCTTGAAATTTAATTAGTTTAATTTAATACTACACAGTATGATTACAATAATCATAATTACAAATTTATTAATTTATTTTTAAATATAATTGTACAAAGTTTTATTTATATATTTTAGCATTTTAAAAAGTAAATTAGAGCAAAAAAGTGCAAAAATACAAACAAATTTGCCTGTGTTAGTTATATATTAAAAAATAAATTAAGAAATAAAATTTAATTATTAGTATTATATATTTAATTTAAATTTAATAGTTTCTACACTATCTTCTTCTAATTTGAGATTCTTCTAAGTAATTATAATTCATCTAAATTCTTTTTAGTTATAATAATTAGTATAAGTAATACAACAAAATTTAACTTTAATTATCTGTTAGTTTACTATAGAACCTAATATTTTTATATAATTAATAATCTAAAAAAGCTATTAATTTATTTTTCAAGGTATTAATATTTTAAAAAACATAATAGCAGTTCATTTTGCATTATAAATTGTTATTTTATACTTAATCAAATTAATTTTAGTATGAGTAACAATTTTGAATAATATTTTTTTAAGTTTGTTTATATTTATATAAGAAGGTTTATATCAAATTCTATTTTAAATATTTAAGCAATATGCAAAATTGTAAAAAAAATTAAAATCAAAATATAGATAAATTAAAATAACAAATATTTGATACTTTTCCAACATATTCTAAAAAAAAAGGATCAAAATTTTGATATTTACTAAATATTTAGATAAGTATAAAACTAGGAAAACAGATACTGTTATTGTCTGAAGCCAAGAATAATAGCTAATAAACATTAGGCTAATCTGAGTTGATCTCTATAGTTGATTGGCTAATAATTGATCACGTTGATAGAACCCAATACAAAATCATGTCCATTGCTCTACTATAGAGACCTTGCTACGCTTTGGACAATTATATTTTTTATTAATATAAACTAGTTTTTAGTACTATTAAAAGAACTTAGAACTGTATATATAGTATAATTATATTGTTTTTTTTTTTAATATTTAGAGAAATACCTGGGTACAGCACCCACCCAAACTTTTATTACTGTATTATTGTGAAATAATGATCATAGACATTATTTTAAAAATAATATCCCCTAAAAATAGCATACTGGATTTTAAAATAATGCCTATAAATATTCTAAAATAGTATATACTATATATAGTATACTATATAATCGAATACATAACACAAGTTGGTAAAAATATTTTTAGTTTTTTAAATATTTTTTTATTGTTTGAAACTTTTTTAAACTATTAATAAAATTTTGCTATAATGAAAATATTTATTTTAAATTAATATTTTTTAAAAAAAACACTATATAGTTGTTTTCTTTAATCTGAACTTCTCTAATCTGAACTATAATAAATTCTGTAAAAACCAAATATAAAACTCTAGAGCATTTGTAAATTTTATTATAAGGTTCAGATTAGTAATATAATATCTTTTTTTTTTTCCTGGTATTAAGGTAACCTCTATGGATGGGGACTTTTTATTAGATTATTAACTTCAGATTACAATTATAATGAGGATACATTAAGCCACATATGTACTTTTGGTACCTAATTTAAGTAGTCCACCTGGGTTCTGCACTAGCTACCATACCTGCAATCTAACTAGAAGATTACCTATTTAAGCTCTCTAGTTATTACTAACATAATATCTTTTTGAAAACTAACTTTTGAGTAATTTTATATATAAAAATAGATCATTCAGAATAGAGAGAGCTGACTATATAATTTATAAAAATTAAAAAATTAATCACTTTAATTTTTATCAAAGCTATCCATTACTATTATTTTTTAAATATGAAA